AGGAAGCCACAGGGAGGAGGGAGCAAGCTTGTTTTCTGCTTCCCTGGAGACTAGGACGGAACAATGGCTTCAAACTACAAGAAAGGAGATTCCATCTGAACATGAGGAAGAACTTCCTGACTGTGAGAGCCGTTCAGCAGTGGAACTCTCTGCCCTGGAGTGTGGTGGAGGCTCTTTCTTTGGAAACTTTTAAACAGAGGCTGGATGGCCATCTGTCAGGGGTGATTTGAATGCAATATTCCTGCTTCTTGGCAGGGGGTTGGACTGGATGGCCCAGGAGGTCTCTTCCAACTCTTTGATTCTATGATTCTATGATTCACTGCCACATAATCCAGTTCAAAATGGATATTGTGGATTTTTACAGTCTTCAGCCTCCTCTGCCCATTTGTGTCCCAGTATTCCATCGCATGGAAAATGGCCTGCCCCAAGGGAGCGTGCTTGCTCCATCCATGTTCAACATCTACACAAATGACCAGCCACTGCCAGAAGGGACAGAGAGTTTCATCTATGCTGATGATCGTGCCATCACCGCTCAAGCAGGGAGCTTTGAGATTGTAGAACAGAAGCTTCCGTAGCTCTAGGTGCCTTTACCACCCATTACAGGGAAAACCAGCTGATCCCTAATCCATCTAAAACACAGACATGTGCTTTTCACCTTAAAAACAGACAAGCATCCCGAGCTCTGAGGATTACCTGGGAAGGAATCCCACTGGAGCATTGCAGAACACCCAAATACCTGGGAGTCACTCTGGACCGTGCTCTGACCTACAAGAAGCACTGCCTGAACATCAAGCAAAAAGTGGGTGCTAGAAACAATATCATACGAAAGCTGACTAGCGCAATCTGGGGATCACAGCCAGACACAGTGAAGACATCTGCCCTTGAGCTGTGCTACTCTGCTGCTGAGTACGCATGTCCAGCGTGGAACACATCTCACCACACTAAAACAGTGGATGTGGCTCTTAATGAGACATGCCGCATTATCATGGGGTGTCTGCGCCCTACACCACTGGAGAAATTACACTATTTGTTTATCGTGTCATCAGCAACCATACCATTGTATTACAATTCTAACAGGACAAAACAAACACACAGATTAAAAAGAAGAAGAAAAACACACGGATTTTGCAAACTTGGTAGTTGGTTAAATGTCCTTTGACCAGTATCTGGCCACTTGGAGTGCCTCTGGTGTTGCCGCAAGAAGGTCCTCCATTGTGCATGTGGCAGGGCTCAGGGTTGCATTGCAGCAGGTGGTCAGTGGTTTGTTCTTCTCCGCACTCGCATGTCGAGGATTCCACTTTGTAGCCCCATTTCTTAAGATTGGCTCTGCATCTCGTGGTGCCAGAGCGCAGTCTGTTCAGCGCCTTCCAAGTCGCCCAGTCTTCTGTGTGCCCAGGAGGGAGTCTCTCATCTGTGGTGCTGGGTTTGAGCCTGCCACTTTTGGACTCTCGCTTGCTGAGGTGTTCCAGCGAGTGTCTCTGTAGATCTAAGAAAACTATTTCTTGATTTAAGTCGTTGACGTGCTGGCTGATACCCAAACAGGGGATGAGCTGGAGATGTCTCTGCCTTGGTCCTTTCACTATTGGCTGCCACTTCCTGGCAGATGTCAGGTGGTGCAATACCGGCTAAGCAGTGTAATTTCTCCAGTGGTGTAGGGCGCAGACACCCCATGATAATGCGGGCGTCCCCTGGGCAACGTCTTCGTAGACGGCTGATTCTCTCGATCCAGAAGCAACTAGAGTAATTACACTGCTTAGCCGGTATTGCACCACCTGACATTCGCCGGGAAGTAGCAGCCAATAGTGAAAGGACCAGGGCAGAGACATCTCCAGCTCATCCCTTTCAGTGGGACAATGAATTCTACGAACAGAAAGATGGAGTAGCTATGGGGAGCCCTCTCAGCCCGGTCATAGCTAACTTCTACATGGAACACTTTGAAAAACAAGCCCTGGAGACAGCAACCAAAAAGCCCACGATATGGTTCATATATGTGGATGACACCTTCACCATTTGGAGCCATGGAGAAGAAGAACTCAACAGGTTCCTGGACCATCTTAACAGCATCCACCCAAACATCCAGTTCACCATGGAAAAAGAAAATGAAGGAAGACTGCCTTTTCTAGATGTCCTAGTCATCCACAAACCAGATCAACAATTGGGTCACACAGTTTACAGAAAACCTACACACACAGATAGATACCTACATAAAAACTCCAACCATCACCCAAGTCAAAAAAGAAACACCATTAAAGCCTTGGCAGACCGTGCAAAAAGAATCTGCGAACCCCACCTCCTCCAAGATGAACTGAACACCTCAACTGGGCTCTCCAGGCCAATGGATACTCCACCTCAGACATCAGAAGAGCTGCAAGACCAAGAACAAGCCACGAGAGAAAAGATGAAGATCCACCCAGAGGAAAAGTGTTCCTGCCATACATCAAGGGAACCACTGATCGCATAGGGAAGCTGATGAGGAAACACAACATACAAACAATCTACAAACCCACCAAGGAAATCCAACAAATGCTACGTTCAGCAAAGGACAAGAGGGATCCTCTCACCTCTGCAGGAGTCTACCGTATACCATGCAGCTGTGGACAAGTCTACATAGGGACCACCAAACCATTGCCCAAACACGAATCAAGGAACATGAAAGGCACTGCAGACTACTTCAACCAGAGAAGTCAGCCATAGCAGAGCACCTGATGAACCAACCTGGACACAGCATATTATTTGAGAACACAGAAATGCTGGACCACTCCAACAACCACCATGTCAGACTACACAGCGAAGCCATTGAAATCCACAAGCATGTGGACAATTTCAACAGAAAGGAAGAGACCATGAAAATGAACAAAATCTGGCTACCAGTATTAAAAAACTCTAAAATTACAACAGCAAAACAACAGAGAGGAAACAACCAGGCACATCTTAACACCTCCCAGCAAGAGATTTTCCCAGGCTCAGGCAGGCCTTCAAATGCTAATGAAGGTGATCAGTTGAAACATTCACACCTAGCTGCAGCAGGGAAGAGCTCCTTGCCCCACCCCAGCCATTCCACAGATATATAAACCCATTGTCCTAATTCCAACAGACCTCACTACCTCTGAGGATGCTTGCCATAGATGCAGGCGAAACGTCAGGAGAAATGCCTCTAGAACATGGCTCTATAGCCCGAAAAAACCCACAAGAACCTAGACATTTAATCAACTACCAAATTCATAAATTCTGTATTTTCTCCGTTTGTTTGCTTTGTTCTGTTAGAAATGTAATATAATTGACTGGTTGCCCTGACACGACAAATAAATAAATCGCATGGAGCCAAAGGTGTCAAACTGCGTTAGTTCTCCAGTGTGGCTGCACCTTGGGACAGGTCACACTCTCGCTCAGCCTCAAAGGCACGCTCTCTCTGAAGAAATTTGGTTGGTTGTAGGAAGACAGTCATGATTACAAGTTATATGACAAGAACAGACCTCCTTCCAAAGGTCAGGCCCGATCTACTTGCTATCTCTCTCCAAGCCGCTCTATGTACTTCCGCTCAACCCAAGCGGGACAGCTACTTGGCTCACTTCCCTGGATGCGCGCGCATCCCCGAGGTGACGCAACGTGGTGGGCGGGTCTTAGTAACATATGCGGAAGAGCACGTCATACCTGCTGGCAGAGCAGCAGCAGTAGCCAGAGGAGAAGGAGGTGGAGGCTGCGTTGCTTCCATGCAGGAAGGTGAGTAACTGGGAGTCGGAGAGGGGGATCTTTCCCTCTGTGCTAGGCCTGAGGTTATGAAGTGTCGCCTTGTTGCTCTTTCTTTTTACTTTGACTCCCTTAGATAGAAAAGGGAGGAAGGGAAGACAGAATAGGGCAGGCATGGGCAAACTTCAGCCCTCCAGGTGTTTTGGACTTCAACTCCCACAATTCCTAACAGCCTCCCATTTCCGCTACTTTGGCAGCCACCTCTCCACAAAAGTCAGCATTGACACTGAAATACAACACCGCCTAAGCTTTGCAAGTGCAGCATTTTTCCGAATGAAGCGCAGAGGACTGGGACATCCGTAGGGAGACCAAGGTGCTTGTTTATACAGCTATTGTCCTCCCAACCCTGCTATACGCCTGCGAGACGTGGACTCTACAGACATCACATGCAACTCCTAGAACGATTCCATCGGCATTGCCTCCAAAAAATCCTGCAAATCTCTTGGGAAGACAAGCGGACAAATGTCAGCGTGCTGGAAGAAGCAAAGACCACCAGCATCAAAGCGATGGTCCTCCACCATCAACTCCGCTGGACCGGCCATGTTGTCCGGATGTCTGACCACTGTCTCTCATAGTAGTTTAATTGTTTTGATTTGCTTTAAGTTGTCGATTTGTTATGCTATGTTTTTGAGGCCTTGGCCTTTGTAAGCTGCATTGAGTCCTTCGGGAGATGCTAGCGGGGTACAAATAAAGTTAATAATAATAATAAATAATAATAGTTGCTCTACTCTGAACTCAAGAATGGAAAATGAAATGTTGGTGGGCAGGAAAAGACATTTAAAGATGGCCTTAAAGCCAACCTTAAAAACTCTGACATAGACACTGAGAACTGGAGTGCTCAAGCCCTGGCCCTTGAGCGCTCCAGCTAGAGGTCAGTTGTGACCAGCAGTGCTGCAGAATTTGAAGAGGCACGAATGGAGGACGAAAGAGAGAAACATGCCAAGAAGAAGGCGCATCAAGCCAACCCCAACCAGGACCACCTTCCACCTGGAAACCAATGCTCTCACTGCAGGAGAACATGCAGATCAAGAATAGGGCTCCACAGTCACCTACAGACCCACCGCCAGTACACCAATCTTGGAAGACCTACTCGGACAACAAGGGATCGCCTAAGTAAAGTAACCGGCTGTTAGGAATTGTGGGAGTTGAAGTCCAAAACACCTTTCCCATGCCGGGACTAGGGGGCTGCCTCCGCCTCTCTCCCCTCTGTGTGACATGACTTTAGTATGTGTTTGTCCTCTTTTTCCAACTCTGTCTTTCTCTCTTGTTTACAGTGGAGCCTTATATATGCCACCTCCTGTATGCCCACCTCGTTAAAATCAAAGGGATTCACTTCTAGGTAAGCAGAGCCAGCCTTGTGAGCCTTTGTTGACATCCCAAAAACTGACATCCCAAAAAGGAAGGACCCAAAACAGTAGTCTTGGATGACAGTCTGTACCTCTTGTGGGGAACCTGGGGACTGAGAAGAGCTTTATGGGACTTTTGGTTGACCCATTCCCCCTTTCCCAGTGGCTCCCAGCCATTGGTCCTCCAAGTGTTTTGGACTTCAGCTCCCAGAAATCCTGGCTGGTTGTCAAGCTGGCTGAAGCTCCTGGGAGCGGGAGTGCTGAACATCCAAAAAAAACCCTGCTTCTTAAACTGTAGGCCCTGATACCAACAAACTTGGGTCCTAGGGGTGTTTTGGACTTCAGCTCCCACAATTCCTTAACAGTCTGCCGGGAAGAAGTGACAAGTGGAGTGCCGCAGGGTTTCTTCCTGGGCTTGGTCCTGTTCAACACCTTCATTAATGACTTAGATGAAGGATAGTGGACAACAAGTTAAACATGAACTAACAATGTCATGCGGTGGCATAAAAAGCCAATGGGATTTTGGCCTTCATAAATAGGAGTCAAGTGCTTATATCCAGGGAAGTCATGCTCCCCCTCTCTTCTGCCTTGGTCAGACCACACCTGAAATCACACTGTGTCTAATTCTGGGCACTGCAATTGAAGGGAGATGTTGACAAGCTGGAAGGTGTCCAGAGGAGGATGACTAAAATAATCAAGGGTCTGGAGAATAAGTCCTATGGGGAGCACCTTAAAGAGCTAGGAGGAGTTATGATGGCCATGTATAAATATGTGAGGGGAAGTCATAGGGAGAAGGGAGCAAGCTTGTTTTCTGCTGATCTGGAGATTAGGATGTGGAACAATGGCTTCACACTACAGGAGAGGAGATTCCACCTGAGCATTAGGCAGTGGAACTCTCTGCCACGGAGTGTGGTGGAGACACTGTCTTTGGAGGCTTTTAAGCAGAGGCTGGAATGCCATCTATTGGGGTGCTTTGAATGCAGTTTTCCTGCTTCTTGGCAGGGGGTTGGACTGAATGGCCCACGAGGTCTCTTCCAACTCTATGATTCTATGACATAGTGGCTGTTTTAGGGACTCATCACACTAGAAAATGAATCCACTTTAAATCTGGCTGCTGCCTCCTGCAGAATTCTGGGGTTTGTAGTTTAGGGAGGAGCCTTTAACAACCTCACTAAACTACAAACCCCAGAATTCTGCATGAGTCAGAAAGCAGATTTAAAGTGGATTTATTCTCTAGTGTGGTGAAGTGTGATGTTTACAGTCCTTTCTGCAGAAGATGCTTCAGCTATACTTCATAAAAACGAACATCAGCCTGTTTAATAAGCCTTGCAAATGCTGATTTTGTTATCAATAAATATTTACTTCATATACCTATTTTATATAACTGTATACTCAGTGCCATGCAAACATTCCTCAAGCAGAAAGGGGTTGTGAGTGGAAAAAAGTTTAGGAAACCCTCCTTTAAACCATTCTGGACTAGGAGCCATGGGTTCAAATTACAGGAAAGGAGATTCCAGCTAAACATCAGGAAGAACTTCCTGACTGTAAGAGCTGTTCAACAGTGGGACTCTCTGCCACAGAGTGTGATGGAGGCTCCTTCCTTGAAGGCTTTTAAACAGAAGCTGGATGGTCATCTGTCAGTGGTACTTTGATTGTTCTTTTCCTGCATTGCAGGGGGTCGGACTAGATGGCCTATATTGTCTCTTCCAACTCTATGATTCTATTATCCTTTTACTGGCCAAAGTAGTAAATTGTTTCTTGTGTCCAGAAGTGAGGGTTCACCTTTCAAATATGTCATGAGGCTAGGCTACCTTGTTTGATGTATTTTAAATTGCCACTTTTTCTAACTCAGATGTCTACTTCTGGCCTCTTTCAGGTTTGGAGAAGTTTGATAGTCTGGATAGGTTCCCTGGGAGGGGGGGGGGCTATGGAAGCCTTGGATACTGATTTCACATGGTTAGCTTGGCATCAACTTCACAGTCATAAATCTTTCTAGTCTCTATAGCTTTTCACAGGTGTTTGCAGGGTTGTCATAGCATAAACATGTGTTTGGGAATAACTCCTATTGAACTCAGTATACTTCTCAGTTGACAGAGGCAGTCAGTTGAAGAAGGATCTTTGACCCATGGGCATATTGAGTATTTGTGACAAGTTTGGTCCAGATCCATCATTATTTGAGTCCACAGTGCAGGGTTTGGTGGGCATTGACCTTGAGTTTTGGAGTTGTAGTTCACCTAACCACAAGTTCCAAAACTCAAGGTCAGTGCCCACCAAACCCTTCCAGTATTTTCTGTTGGTCATGGGAGTTCTGTGTGCCAAGTTTGGCTCAATTCCCTCATTGGTGGAATTCAGAATGCTCTTTGACTGTAGGTGAACTATCAGTCCCAACAACTACAACCCCCAAATGACAAAATCAATACCCTCCCCCCAACCCCACCAGTATCTAAATGTGGGAGTATGGGGTATTTGTGCCAAATTTGGTCCAGTGAATGAAAATACATCCTGCATATCAGATATTGACATGACGATTTCATAACACTAGCAAAATGAGAGTCACGAAGCAGCAACAAAACTAATCTTATGGTTGGGGTTCACCACAACCTGAGGAACTGTATTAAGGGGTTGCGGCATTAGGAAGGTTAAAAAACATTAACATTAAAAAATCCTTATACATAAAAAGTTATCAAGTGTAGGCTTCCCAGCCTAATCTTCAATACTATGGCAATCCATAGTTTTCTACGTACAGGATTTCTTAAGCTTTGTTTCAAATAAAGTATTCAACCCCACGCCTGATGACATAGCTCAACTCAAAGCAGCCTTGAACAGGACGAAGGGAAAGTTCTAGGGAATGTGACAGCTGCTAACTCAACATAGTATAGTGCTAACGTGAGAAAGAGCAAAGTGGTACAGATTGAGCATCCCTTATCTGGAATTGTAAAACCAAAAATTGGCCGCCTGGGTGGCTGAAATAATGACACCTTTGCTTGTTGATGTTTCGATATACAACCTGGTTTCATGCATAAAATTATTGTGTACCAAATTACCTTCACGTTATGTGTACAATGTGTTTATGAAAGATACATGAATTTCCTGTTTAGACTTGTGTCCTATTTTCAAATTATCTCATTATGTATGTATGTGGAGATATAGGTATTCCAAAATACAAATACAAATTATGAAAATGGTCCCAATCATTTCAGATCAGGGGATAAACTGTACTTGAGGATGCTAATTATAGTGTCTCCTTGTCTTGTAAATCTAGGAAATGTTGGCATCATCCAAATGAGCAAAATGGCAATGCAGGGAAAGAAATGGCCACAACTGTGCTTTTAAGTATTTCCACCCCTCTCGCACAGAAAGAGAAGAGGAATGACATTTCAAAGCAAACCAATAACACATACTAATTTTCATGGTCCAATTAAATGAGGAGAGTGAAATTAAAATCTTTCTTCTCAAACTGGTTCTACCTCCTCAGAAAGTCTACCCACAGGTCCTTTCCTAGTTAACAGATGTGTGTGGCTTGCATCTGTGACATACAGAGACAAGAAACAAAATCCCCTAAGGAGACTATTTTTTTAATCATTTGTGTTTCCTCCTTTTAAATAAATCACACGCAACTTACTAAAAAGCTAAGGCCTTATTTGGCAGGAATATCACAGGCCCTCCCTTATATCTTTTCAGAAAGTAGTTCATTATGGGAATTATACATGTCTTGTGAGAAATAAACCACGTTGCAGTCCATGGGACTTGCTTCCAAGTAAGGGAGCATCTTTTAACTGCCACATCTCAATGCTATGGAATCACTGAAGGTTTTTTTGAAGTTTTTCCAGGTTTTTAGCCTTCTCTACCAAATAGTGTTGGTGCCTTAAGGCAAAGGATTCCCTTGACATTAAGTGTATCATGTCTGACTCTGGAGGGTGGTGCTCATCTCCATTTCTAAGCAGAAGAGCCGGTGTTGTCCGTAGACACCTCCAAGGTCATGTGGCCAGCATAACTACAAGGAGTGCCGTTACCTTCCCGCAGAAGCGGTACCTATCAATCTACTCTCATTTGCATGTTTTCAAACTGCTAGGTTGGCAGAAGCTGGGGCTAACAGCAGGAGCTCACCTCGCTCCCCAGATTTGAACTGCAGATCTTTTGGTCAGCAAGTTCAACAGCTCAGCAGTTTAATCCGCTGCAAGGTCATGTGGCCAGCATGACTACATGGAGTGCCGTTACCTTCCCGCAGAAGCGGTACCTATCAATCTACTCTCATTTGCATGTTTTCGAACATCTAAGTTGGCAGAAGCTGGGGCTAAGTTGGCAGAAGCTGGGGCTAACAGCGGGAGCTCACCCCACTCCCTGGATTCAAACCGGCAACCTTTTGGTCAGCAAGTTCATGAGCTCAGCGGTTTAACCTGCTGCGCCACCAGGGGCTCCTTTCTACTGATAGGTATTTATTAAATGTTTAAAACTAATTTTGGAACAAAAAAATAGATTAAAACTCCTTAAATATAGAAGAAAATGAATTTAACTATATAACCAGAACAGTATGATGACAAAGACAGCCTTTTGGGTGAAGGTGAATACAATTTGTACCAGTCTGGAGTAAACAGGTTTTTTAATCCTGTTACAGCAGACCATACTGATAGTAGCAGTTCAACAAGCTGTCCATATGGAACCACCTGGTACGATCGTGTCTCAGAATTCATATACAACCCCGCTCCCTGGTACAATTTCCTCCTCAATTTGTATAAATTCAAACTTTGTTTTCATTTCAAGGTGTGCATCCTGAACAGAAAGGAGAATGTCGTGGATACGAGAGGGAGAACTGTCCCTCTTGGAGAGATTCTGTGCCGGTATCATCAAGGTAAGTGTTAAAGTGATGCATATTTAGAAACATTCAAGTTCAGTGGTTGCACGTGAATGTGAAGACAGATGTGAAAGGTGTGTATATCTGAGCAGGGAGACATCTAGAGCAGTCTTTTCCTACCTGGATCCCTCCAGATTTTTTTGGACCTGTAATGTTACAAGGCATGTAGCTCTTGCGCGGAATTTTCTTTGGGAGAAGTTGGTATCACTGCCGTGTAGCAGGAAACCAGCAGAAGCAAACAAGCAGTGCCAGTCGTCAGTAGTTCAGCAACTGGCATTGGGGTGAAGGTTAGAGATTAGTGTCCTCATTCCGTTTCCTTCCAAGTGTGAAGTTTGTGCTGTAATACGCTACCTAAAGGCTAAGGGCACAAACGCCACTGCGATTCTTTGCAAAATCGCTTCAATTTATGGAGAGGGCATCATGTCAAGACAGCATGTGACAAAATGGGTACAGAATATATTGTGAAACCATGAAGAAACGTCACAGAGCCATCCAAAACAAACGTGGTGGGATGCTGATGGCGGGAGTCTGTCTCCTTCATGACAATGCGTGTCCGCACACCACTCATGCAACACAAGAGTTGTTGACTTCATTTGGTTGGGATGTTTGAAGTCACCCCTCTCATAGTCCCAGTCCCGCACCCAGTGACTCTCATCTGTTCACTAAATTGAAGGAACACCTGGGTGGAAAACACTTTGAAAATAGAAAAGATGAACTGGCTGAAAAAGGCGGCAGGAAACTTCTATGACACAGGCATAAAAAAAAACTTGTTGCACAGATGACACAATATATTTAATTGAATGGTACTTATGTGGAAAAATAATGTAATCCCTATGCTACAATCCATGTAATTATTAAATTATTATTATTAAAATATATTTTAATAATAATAATATATTATTATTAAAATATATTCATTTTTTGTATTAAAAAAAATCTTCTTACTTTCCGAATAACCCTTGTATTTGCGGCCCCCGCAGGGACCAAAAAAGAAGGAACATAGGTTCTTGTGGGTGTCTTCGGGCTATAGAGCCATGTTCCAGAGGCACTTCTCCTGACGTTTCGCCTGCATCTATGGCAAGCATCCTCACTACCTCTGAGGATGCTTGCCATAGATGCAGGCGAAACGTCAGGAGAAGTGCCTCTGGAACATGGCTCTATAGCCCGAAGACACCCACAAGAACCTAGTGATTCCAGCCATGAAAGCCTTCGACAATATATAGAAGGAACATACTCCCTCAGCACTATGTTCAGAACCTGGGAGTGGCCACTCTAAACTGCACATCAGAGGCACTTTTCCCCCTTTGCAGTCATGGGAGTTGACCTTGTTCCAAGTCTGTCATTTTCTTCTACTAAATTGTTAAGTGTTCCATAGTGGCTTTCTTTACACAGTGGCTCCAGTTTTCTGAATGTTCTCCAAGTTGTACAACTAATATTCAAAGGGAGGAGGTGGGAGGTTTTTACTTGTTCGTTTTGGAAACACATATGAGTCCCGGTGTTTCTACAACCGGTATTTCTTAGTTCTGTTGTAATCCTTGACCCTTTATGTCTGCCTTCTCTCTCATTTCCAGGCCAGCACTATGGGTCTGTTGGACTGCAACTCCTATCATCCTCAGGCATGATTATTAGGAATGAGGGGTGTTGCGGTCCAATATGTCATGGGCTCCAGACGGCAAGGGGTTGTTAGATGTTCAATGTAAAATCAAACTGCTTTTCATTCTACCTTTCCTCTCTTTGCTTTCCGCATTCAGGCAGGGCCAATGCCTAAACACATTGCATTCATCATGGATGGCAATCGCCGTTATGCCCAGAAACATAAGGTGAAGAAACTGGAAGGGCATTCACAGGGATTTGCAAAACTTGCACAGGTGAGTCATCCTGTGTTCTTTTCTGAGCACTTCTACTTTCCTTGTAGTTTCCAGGCCCAATCCAAATTAATTGAATATATGATTTATACTCAATCTATCCTCATAGAAGCTCAGGGCAAAGTAATAAATATAGTAAAGAGGAAGGTTTTCCCCTGACATTAAGTCTAGTCGTGTCTGATTCTGGGGATTGGTGCTCATCTCCAATTTTAAGCTGAAGAGTGGATTCCTTGGTATTTGACATTCTATTAAGGGGGAAGTTTGCAATGAGTCTTTCCCCTTTGTTGTCTAGGGATGTGTCTACACTGCAGAATGAATGCAGTTTGTCACTACTGCCTTGCCTCAATGCTGTCAGATCTAGGATTGATAGTTTGGTGAGATATTAGATCATGATGGGGGGTGGTTCTCCTCTCCATTTCTAAGCTGAAGAGCCAGCGTTGTCCATAGACACCTCCAAGGTCATGTGGCCAGCATGACTGCATGGAGTGCCGTTACCTTCCCACCAGAGCGGTACCTATTGTTCTACTCACAATTGCATGTTTTCGAACTGCTAGTTTGGCAGAAACTAAAGCTAACAGGAGCCCCCGGTGGCGCAGTGGGTTAAAGCACTGAGCTGCTGAGCTTGTTGACCGAAAGGAAGCAGGTTCGATTCCGGGGAGTGGCATAAGCTTCCGCTGCCAGCCCTAGCTTCTGCCAACCTAGCAGTTCAAAAACATTCAAATGTGAGATCAATAGGTAACGGCGGGAAGGTAACGGTGCTCTATGCAGTCATGCCAGCCACATGACCTTGGAGGTGTCTATGGACAACGCCGGCTCTTCGGCTTAGAAATGGAGATGAGCACCACACCCCAGAGTCAGACATGACTGGACTTAATGTTAGGGGACAACCTTTACCTTTTACTAAAGCTAACAGCAGGAGCTCACCCCGCTCCCTGAATTCGAACCACCGACCTTTCGGACAGCAAGTTCAGCAGCTCAGTGGTTTAACCTGCTGTACCACTGGGGCCTCCTTTATATGCCTGTCGTTAAATAAAAAATGGCGGACACGTTAAATCAATGGTGACAAAATACAATACAGGTAATATGGCAGTGGAATAAATTGCCTTGATAGAGAGATGGCAGTCTCTCTATCTTTGGAGGCCTTTACACTGAGTTGGGTAGGCACCTTTAGGGAGTGCTTTAGATGTGTATTCCTTCTTGGCAAGGGCTAAACTAGATGACCTTTGTGATCCCTTCCAACTGTAAGATGCTATATGTAAACAGCAAAAGGAGGCAAGTTAGACACAGGTCTTTTAGGTTGCTGTGACCTATTGCCTGAGAGTTGAGAGTGGGAGGCATAACCAGACAACCAGGTTACAGTGTCTCATAATCAGCGGAGGTAGGTCAACCTTCATCACTCATTCAGGCAGGAGTGGCAACCTGCAGACACACCCGAACCCTCTTAGAAGATGATCACTGCCCATGGAGATTTTATTTGCCCCACAAGGCATGGAGAGAGGCAAAATGGGATGTCTGTGTCCAAATCCGACTTAGATCCCTCTCCAATGCCAGCATGGAACTGCTAACAGACCAAAAAAGATTCATCTTTCCTTCTGTTACACGTTTTCCTTTTACATCAGGTAAACACCCAGGGGATTTTCTCTTGGATACTTGTGCTTGAATTCAGAGGTTTGGGATAAACACAACTGGTTTGATATAAGACAGAGAGACTGATATAGTGTGTTGGGAGTGGGAGACAAATGACCCTCCAGGAGTTGCTAGACTGGAACTCCCATCAGACCTCACCTGTATTGGTTCTGGTCCTAGAGCTGATATGTAGTTGTAGCTAACAATATTGGAGGGAGGGGCAAGGAGATTCCCAACCATGCAATATTGTATGAGAGCTCGCAGACTAGTAAACTATCAAGTTAGTTCAAAACTGTAGAGACATTCAAAGCAATTGACCCGCTAAACAAGCCCTTATAAAAACGAAAAGAATGGAAGAGGTGCCGCAGTATAGACTAGGTATTAAAAGCTCCACATCTCCTCCTGAGAAAAATGTATAATATCACAAAGGACTACCACCTTACCCGCCTCATAGGAAACCTGCTACAAAACAGGAGCTTTTTTGTTGAGTTCCAGGGCCAGAGAAGCAGATAGCAGAAACAGAAGAACGGCCTGCCTCAGGGGAGCGTGCTTGCTCCATCCATGTTCAACATCTACACAAATGACCAGCCACTGCCAGAAGGGACAGAGAGTTCATCTATGCTGATGATCGTGCCATTACTGCTCAAGCAGGGAGCTTTGAGATGGTTGAACAGAAGCTCTCCGAAGCTCTAGGTGCTCTTACTGCCTATTACAGGGAAAACCAGCTGATCCCTAATCCATCTAAAACACAGACATGTGCCTTTCATCTCAAGAACAGAGAAGCATCCCGAGCTCTGAGGATCACCTGGGAAGGAATCCCACTGGAGCATTGCAGCACACCCAAATACCTGGGAGTCACCCTGGACCGTGCTCTGACCTACAAGAAGCACTGCCTGAACATCAAGCAAAAAGTGGGCGCTAGAAACAATATCATACGAAAGCTGACTGGCACAACCTGGGGATCACAACCAGACACAGTGAAGACATCTGCCCTTGCGCTATGCTACTCTGCTGCTGAGTATGCATGCCCAGTGTGGAACAAATCTCACCACACCAAAACAGTGGATGTGGCTCTTAATGAGACATGCCGCATTATCATGGGGTATCTGCACCCTACACCACAGGAGAAATTACACTGTTTAGCCAGTATTGCACCACCTGACATCCGCCGGGAAGTACCAGCGAATAGTGAAAGGACCAAGGCAGAGACATCTCCAACTCATCCCTTGTTTGGGTATCAGCCAGCACGCCAACGACTTAAATCAAGAATAGTTTTCTAAGATCTACAGAGACACTCGCTGGAACACCTCAGCAAGCGAGAGTCCAAAAGTGGCAGGCTCAAACCCAGAACCTCAATCAATGGCTGATACCAAATGAGAGACTCCCCCCTGGGCACACAGAAAACTGGGCGACTTGGAAGGCACTGAACAGACGGCGCTCTGGCACCACGAGATGCAGAGCCAACCTTCAGAAATGGGGCTACAAAGTGGAATCCATAACATGCGAGTATGGAGAAGAGCAAACTACAGACCACCTGCTGCCATGCAACCTGAGCCCTGCTACATGCACAATGGAGGACCTTCTTGCAGCAACACCAGAAGCACTCCAAGTGGCCAGATACTGGTCAAAGGACATTTAATCAACTACCAAGCTTGCAAACTCTGTGTCTTTTGTATGTTTGTTTGTTTGTTCTGTCAAAAATGTAATACAACTGTTCGGTTGCCTGACACGATAAATAAATATCATCCACATGTCACCTGAACAAGTTATGAAATCTTAATGAAATCCCATTGAGGAGGTAACATCCCTCAAACCCTCAACAAGGTCCCCAATGACCTTCTGACAAACAAACTAGTCTAATATGGGCTAGGCAAAGCTACGGTTCGATGGTTCTGTATTTGGTTGAGCAAATGAACCCAGAGGGTACATCTCCGCAAAGCTTCCTCTTCACCCTGGAAAAAGGTGACAAGTGGAGTGCCATCAGGAGTGTTCCATCCTGGGCCCGGTCCTGTTCAGGATCTTCATTGATGACTTAGATGAAGGGTTAGAAGGCATGATCATCAAGTTTGCAGAGGACACCAAATAGGGATGGATAGCTAATATTCCAGAAGACAGGAGCAGAATCTATTTATTTATTTATTTACAACATTTATATGCCGCCCTTCTCACCCCAGAGAGGACTCAGAATGGCTTACAAGATATATAGATACATACAATATATTATATTATTAGCATAGTATAATATCAGTATTATATATTACTATATTGTACTGTACCATTATATTGTAATATTATTAGTAATATTACATGTAGTATAAAATATATAATTATAGTATTGTTATTATTAGTAGTATTATATTGTATTACAGTATAATATTATAAATATTCTATGTATATACAATATATTATATTATGTTAGTAAAGCACAGGAGGCAAGATGGAACTGTCTTCTGCCCCCCTCTCTCTTCACTCTGGCCAGAGCAGCAGTTGGTGCTCAAAACGATCTTCACAGATTAGAGAGATAATTGGCCAAAACTAAAAAAATGAAGTTCGACAGGGACAAATGCAAAATACTCCACTTAGGCAGAAAAAAATGAAATGCAAAGATACAGAATGGGGAAGATGCCTGGCTTGACAGCAGGACATGTGGAAAAGATCTTGGAGCCCTCGTGGACAGGAAGGGAAACATGAGCCAACAATGTCATGTGACGGCTTAAAAAGCCAATGGGATTTTGGCCTGCATAAATAGGAGTCTAGTGTCGAGATCCAGGAAAGTCATGCCCCCCCTCTATTCTATTTTTCCTTGGTCAGACCACTTTACCTGGAATCACACTCTGTCCAATTCTGGCCACCGCAATTGAAGGGAGATGTTGACTCTAAGTTGGAATGTGTCCAAAGGAGGGTGACTCAAAGGATCAAGGGTCCAGAGAACAAGCCCTATGAGGAGCGACTTAAAAAGCTGGGCATGTTTAGCCTGCGGAAGAGAAGGCTGAGAGGAGACATGATGAGGGCCATGTATCAAGATGTGAGGGGAAATCATAAGAGGAGGGAGCAAGCTTCCTTTCTGCTACCCTGGAGACTAAGACGAGGAACAGTGGCCTCAAACTACAGGAAAGGAGATTCCACTTGAACATTAGGAAGAACTTCCTGACTGTGAGAACTGTTCAGCAAGGGAACTCTCTGCCCTGGAGTGTGGTGGAGGCTCCTTCTTTGGAGGCTTTTAAGCAGAGGCTTGGATGGCCATCTGTCGGGAGTGCTTTGAATGCGATTTTCCTGCGGGGTTGGACTGGATGGCCCATGAGGGCTCTTCCAGCTCAATGATTCTATGAAAATAATCAGGAAGGGAATTCCAAGTGGAGACCACAGCCATGAAGGCACTTCTTCTAGCTAGGTGCTGTGAAGAAAGGGAGGAGAGTTCAGTCAATCTCAGTAAGAAATAAGCCTTTCACTACTATTGACCTAATGAGCAGTTGAATATTCCTAACCTTTGTTTTATGTAGGAGTTAATAGCTCATTTGCATATTATGTTAAAGTATATGCAATTATTGTATTGGCTCCCCTTGCACATTCTGAATTAATTCTCTGGTGTATGTAGCTCCACCCTAGGAATCTCCTTGCAAAATCCATGAATTCTAAAAAGGATTGGACCAACCCATTATGTTGCTTTGAGAAGAAACTGTTGAGGAAGAGCATTTCTGTAAGACCTCTAGCCCTCTGAAGCACAGATAACGTTTAGATTAAACAGATCATTAAGTCATTTTCCCACGTAAACGCTATGATTCTTAACTGTAGATTCTTTATTTGAAGAGTAGGTCAGTTTGGATTAGGAGATGTTTCAATACTTATGAACAGAAATGTCTTGTTAATATTTCTTTACTGATCCTTAAATTGGATGTTGTGTGAAAGGAAGTTGTTTGCTTTCTCCCACAAGGTTGCGGAACACAAACTTGTTTGGGATGTGTTCATGTTGGAATTGCTCAATATCATCCCTTGAGGAGGGATGGTTTTGGAGGTGGCAATGTCATTAGCAGTGACACCACTTACCAGTTATTTATTTAAAATATTTATATTCCACCCTTCTCACCCCGAAGGGAACTCAGGGCGGAGCACAGCATATACAGCAAACATTCAATGCCGGGACACAAATTCATATACACAAGTTAATAACTTCAGTATTTTGTTAAGGATGATTTCTTGGACCTATACTACAGATTGTGAGCATTGAGAAGACTTCCTCCACATGAAAAGCAAATTCTGTGAGATAGGCTGAAATTCTTTCTACCTTTGGTGAACAACATAGTCCCAAAAAACCCCATGATAGGTTCAGCTTAGAATTGCCAGAAGTTGGAAACAATTTACTTACTTACTTAGGTGATTCCTCGTTGTTCAAGTATGTTGGCCTTCCAAGTGTAATGTCTTGGCGGTGGATAAGTAGGTGGCTGTGGAGACCTATTGTTAACTTGCATGTTCTTCCACAGTGAGGGCATCAGTTTTCAGGTAGAAGGTGGTTCCAGTCAGGGTTGGCTTGATGTGCCTTCTTCCTCTTGGTAGTTTCTCCTTTTCACAAGAACGGCCTACCTCAGGGGAGTGTGCTTGCTCCATCCATGTTCAACATCTACACAAATGACCAGCCACTGCCAGAAGGGACAGAGAGTTTTCATCTATGCTGATGATCGTGCCATTACTGCTCAAGCAGGGAAGCTTTTCGAAGCTCTAGGTGCTCTTACTGCCTATTACAGGGAAAACCAGCTGATCCCCAACCCATCTAAAACACAGACATGTGCCTTTCATCTCAAGAACAGACAAGCATCCCGAGCTCTGAAGATCACCTGGGAAGGAATCCCACTGGAGCATTGCAGCACACCCAAATACCTGGGAGTCACTCTGGACCGTGCTCTGACCTACAAGAAGCACTGCCTGAACATCAAGCAAAAAGTGGGTGCTAGAAACAATATCATACGAAAGCTGACGGGCACAACCTGGGGATCACAACCAGATACAGTGAAGACATCTGCCCTTGCGCTGTGCTACTCTGCTGCTGAGTATGCATGCCCAGTGTGGAACACATCTCACCACACTAAAACAGTGGATGTGGCTCTTAATGAGACATGCCGCATTATCACGGGGTGTCTGCACCCTACACCACTGGAGAAATTATACTGTCTAGCCGGTATCGCAACTCCTGACATCCAATGCAGAGACATCTCCAGCTCATCCCCTGTTTGGGTATCAGCCAGCACGTCAACGACTTAAATCCAGACATAGTTTTCTAAGATCTACAGAGACACTCGCTGGAACACCTCAGCAAGCGAGAGTCCAAAAGTGGCAGGCTCAAACCCAGAACCTCAACCAATGGCTGATACCAAATGAGAGACTCCCCCCTGGACACACAGAGGACTGGGCGACTTGGAAGGCACTGAACAGACTGCGCTCTGGCACCACGAGATGCAGAGCCAACCTTCAGAAATGGGGCTACAAAGTGGAATCCTTGACATGCGAGTGCGGAGAAGAGCAAACCACAGACCACCTGCTGCAATGAACCTGAGCCCTGCCACATGCACCATGGAGGACCTTCTTGCGGCAACACCAGAGGCACTCCAAGTGGCCAGATACTGGTCAAAGGACATTTAATCAACTACCAAACTCACACATTTTGTATTTTCTCCGTTTGTTTGCTTTGTTCTGTTAGAAATGTAATATAATTGACTGGTTGCCCTGACACGAGAAATAAATAAACCCTCCATTTGTGCGTTTTCCAGTTCCGCAGCACTTCTGGTCACAGATGACCTCCAGTTAGGATGCTGAAGGGCCAGGGCTTCCCAGTTCTCAGTGTCTATATCACAATTTTCTAAGATTAGGTTTAAGCCCATTTTAAAAACTCTTTTCTTGTCCACCAACATTAAGTTTTCCAATCTTGAGTTGGGAGTATAGTAACTGCTTTGAGAGACGGTGATCAGGCATTCGGACAACATGGCCAGTCCAGCAGAGTTGATGGCATAGGGGCATCACTTCAGTGCTGGTGGTCTTTGCTTCTTCCACCACCCTGACAATTGTCCGTCTGTCTTCTCAAGAGATTTGCAGGATTTTTCTGAGGCAATGCTGATGGAATCATCCCAGAAGTTGAGTGTGATGTCTGTAGACAGTCCACTTTTTGCAGGTGTATAAGAGAGGACAATAGCTTTAAAAACAAGCACCTTGGTCTCCTTACGGATGTCCCGATCCTCAAACACTCTCTGTTTCATTCAGAAAAATGCTGCACTCGCAGAGCTCAGGCAGTGTTGTATTTCAATGGCAATGTTGACTTTTGTGGAGAGGGGGCTGCCAAGGGAACAGAAATGGTCAACATTTTCTAATGTTATATCATTAAGCTGTATTTCTGGCATTGGAGAGGCATTTTCTGGTGACTGCTGGAAGAGCATGTTGGTTTTCTTCATGTTCAGTGAGAGGCCGAGCTTCTAATATGCTTCTGCAAAGGTGTTTAGTGTGGCTTGTAGGTCTTCTTCATGTGCACAGACTATGTTATTATCAGCATAAACAACAGCTGGAAACAATTTAAAGGCAAACAACAACCACAAAGGCCTTTAGCAATCTCCTAGTTGCACAACTTTGTACTAGAGCCAGGTCTCACCCTTTTCCATTAACTAATTCATGGTTCAACTGGTGTTAAGTGCCCTCTTTTGCCCTGTCTTACAGACATTGCAGTGGTGCCTGAGTCTGGGCGTTCGTGAAGTCACAGTTTATGCCTTTAGTATTGAAAATTTCAAGCGACCCCGAGAAGAAGTGGATGGCCTGATGCAATTGGCAAGAGAAAAGTTCACTCGTCTTCTAGAAGAACAGTAAGACCCTTCTCTACTGCTTGCTACTGTAAACCTTTATGGATACCTTTCTAAGGAATGTAACCTTTTCTGTAGGCATTACAATTAGGAAACCATGATGAAAATTTCTGTCATTTCCATCTTTGGATGAAATTTGCATAGGGCTATAATTTTTGCTTGGATGGAGAATTTCACCTGCTCCCACAAACCCCACAAATTTTTGCACCCAAAGATCCTTTGTTAATCTTGAGAGCATGTTTGGGGGTCACCTGGTAGACATTCTGGGTCCCCTAGTAGACATTTTGAGACATTTAAAGGTTTAAAAAGGACCAAGAAAGAAGTCCAAGAGGCCTCCAGACATGTTGGAATGCCTTCTACACCCCAAAGATATGTTTTTGGAGCATTTTGTCTACCTCGAGATCACAATCATTGAACTCAGTGGGGCTTATTCTCAGATCAGTATGTATAGCGGTATAGCCCAAGTAGCCTAACTGCATTCACATGCAATCAATTCAGTAATGCATTTTCAACTCAGACTAACCTTAAATTGTGGCTCCCACATTATGCGTATCTTAAATATATTTCTAAGGTATATTGAGTTTAAATATTTTGGCAAGAAGACGCCAAATCTGTTGCCTCCTTGTTTCCTTTCTCCTGGCTCATTTTCTAAGGAAATCATTGTGATGTATTATGTTCAACCATTCCAAATATCTCCTATTTTACTATCTTCAAGATCAGGCATGTAGCCAGGAGGAGGGGAGGGCTTGAGGGGCTTCAGCCCCCCCCCCCCCCCCATTCTCAGGGTGGTCCACAAGAAGGCCTTACTGATACATTATTTAAACTGTTATGTTTATTCATATCATGATCTGATCACCATGCTCAATATATCCCATATGCATGGGGGTATTGGGGTAACGATACAAAAGGTTTGCTAGGGTAGACCCTCTGTCACTCAGATTCAGCCCCCTGGCTAAATGACAAAACAAACACCCCCCCCCCCCCCCCCCAATCAAAATCCTGGCTACGGGCCTGTTCAAGATGTTAGCTGAATTTATCTGTTGCAGCAAAAAAAAAATAGAGATCTTTATGACACATCTAAAACTGACAATTGGCATATTGTGTTATGAACTGCAGCCCAATGCATCTAGAAAAATGCACCTAGTCTATAAAAGCTCATGCCAAATACAAGTTGTTAGCCTCTGATACTACTTGACTCTTCACTCCTGTTTTCAAGATGCAAACAACTTCTTTTGGAAACCTCTCTAGATGACCAAAGGTCAACTAAACTGCCCTTAGGAATCTCAGGCATTTATTGGCATTGAAAAGGTGTGACTTGTCTTTGTTTGACTTCACTTGTCTTTTCATGCTTTGTAGAGAAAACTTAGAAAAGCATGGGGTGTGTGTCCGAATCCTTGGAGACCTACCTCTGCTGCCACGAGATATCCAGGAGCTGATTGCCAAGGTTGTGCTGGCAACAAAACAGTACAATACGTGAGTCCTCTTGTGCTTCTTTGAACTTCTTCTCATTTGCACAAAAACACTTTCCTGCCTTGTCCTCTGATTCTCGCAAATAAAATTCAAAATGACAGCTCAGTTGTCTTTATTCTCTGATATTATTATTATTATTTATGTATATTCTGCCCTATCTCCCCAAGGGAATTCAGGGCGAATTCCAAAAAACAAAACAAAACAAAACAAAAAAACATAGAGACAAACATTCAGTGCATCACCAAAAGTGTAAACATAAATTCATTTGCAACCCACCCAATTCCAAAGCAACAAACATCAAACAACCAATTATTAAATAAAATCTAAAATTACACAAATTACTCTCTTAAGTTGTATCTAACAATAAAAACAAATTATTTCAACCATAAAACATGAACCTCGGTTTGATGAGCTCCCAGAGGTTCACTAAAAACCTTTAAAAAGCTGGTTTTTTGTCCACACAACCCATGCTCTCTTGTATTTTTCTTAAAAGGTGTTTCTTGAATATTGCCTTTGCATATACATCGAGAGAAGAAATCAGCAATGCGGTTAAAGAGCTGGCTTGGGGTGTCGAGGAAGGGCTGCTTCAACCCAGGTAAATCTGTATATATGCATGATACATGTTTTTATTGATTTTATTGATTCTGTTATGGTTTTAATATTCAATTGTTTTATTATATTGAAATTGTATTTTATGGTCTTGGTACCAACTGTAAACCATCCCTAGTTGTCTGCGGGCAGAGAGGGATGATATATAAATGCAGTAAATAAATAAATAATACCCCATACGATTTCAGATGCGAGACCAGTTTTACACATTTGAGGCTTAGGACTATGTGCTTTTTTCATTCGTACCTCCTTCTCGGCGATGCAACTTGCTCTTATGGCAGTCACCAGATTCACACAATGTTGACTGGCTAGTCCTTGTCAACCCTCCCAAATGCCACTGTGCTCATGCTATTGATAGACTGGTCCTTGTGTCAGCAAGGAATCAGTGCCCTTCCTTTGGTAGATCATTTTCCAAAGATTTCAAAAGTATGTGTGTTTAAACTTCCGAAGCATAGCAGGGCATGCTTCATTCTTGTAAGATATACATTTGTGTCTCACCAAAACCCAGAGCTCCATTAACTGGAGTCAAGTGCAAAAGATGGACATGTAGAATTGCAGAAATGATGCCGCTCAGCATGGAAATGGGTTTTGGTACAACAACTGTAATGAGCTCATGATTTTTCATCCCAAGGCTTGGGCAGTTCTTGTTATCCCAGGCCATCTTCATTTCATATATATATGAGTGAGTGCGTTATTTAAGCAGTGAACCAGTGCCTGGTCACGGTGACGGTCTGGACAAGGGCGAACAAATTGAAGCTGAATCCAGACAAGACAGGTCCTCCTAGTCAGTCGCAAGGCCAAACAGGGTATAGCGTTATAGCCTGTACTGGATGGGGTTACCCTCTCCATGAAGGTGCAGGTTCACAGCTTGGGAGTCCTCCTAGACCAGTGGTTCTCAACCTGGGGTCCCCAGATGTTTTTGGCCTACAACTCCCAGAAATCCCAGCCAGTTTACCAGCTGTTAGAATTTCTGGGAGTTGAAGGCCAAAAACATCTGGGGACCCCAGGTTGAGAACCACTGTCCTAAACTCATCGCTGAGCCTGGAACCTCAGGCTGCGGCAGTGGCTAGGGAGGGCTTACACACAATTAAAACTTGTGCGCCCGTTGTGCTTGTACCTTCCGAAATCAGACTTGGCCACGATGGTCCACTCTTGATACATCTAAGATAGACTACTGCAATGCACTCTACATGTGGTTGCCTTTGAAGAATGTTTGGAAGTTTCAAATAGTCCAACGAGAGGCAGCCAGGTTAATAACTGGGGCGGCATACAGGGAGCACACAATTCCAATGTTATGTCAGCTCCACTATGTGCCACTTAGCTACTGAGGATAATTTAAAGTGCTGGCTTTGGCCTAGAAAGCCCTAAATGGCCCCAACCCAGTTTATCTGTCATAGAATCATAGAATCAAAGAGTTGGAAGAGACCTCATGGGACATCCAGTCCAACCTGCCAAGAAGCAGGAATATTGCATTCAAATCACCCCTGACAGATGGCCATCCAGCCTCTGTTTAAAAGCTTCCAAAGGAGGAGCCTCCACCACACTCCGGGCAGAGAGTTCCACTGCTGAATGGCTCTCACAGTCAGGAAGTTCTTCCTCGTGTTCTGATGAAATCTCCTCTCTTGTAGTTTGAAGCCATTGTTCCGCGTCCTAGTCTCCAAGGAAGCAGAAAACAAGCTTGCTCCCTCCTCCCTGTGGCTTCCTCTCACATATTTATACATGGCTATCATATCTCCTCTCAGCCTTTCTTCAGGCTAAACATGCCCAGCTCTTTAAGCCGCTCCTCATAGGGCTTGTTCTCCAGACCCTTGATCATTTTAGTCGCCCTCCTCTGGACACATTCCAGCTTGTCAATATCTCTCTTGAATTGTGGTGCCCAGAACTGGACACAATATTCCAGGTGTGGTCTAACCAAAGCAGAATAGAGGGGTAGCATGACTTCCCTAGATCTAGACACTATGCTCCTATTGATGCAGGCCAAAATCCCATTGGCTTTTTTTGCCGCCACATCACATTGTTGGCTCATGTTTAACTTGTTGTCCACGAGGACTCCAAGATCGTTTTCACACGTACTGCTCTCGAGCCAGGCATTGTCCCCCATTTTGTATCTTTGCATTTCGTTTTTCCTGTCCAAACGCAGCTCCCTCTATGTACCACAGCGGAGATTAAATTCTTCCGGGGAGGCCCTGCTCTCAGTCTTGCCATTGTCACAGGCGCGACTAGTAGGGACGAGAGAGAGGGCCTTCTCAGTGATTTCCCCCTGGCTATGGAACTTCCTCCCTGACAAGATTAGATCAGTCCCTTCCCTCCTGTCCTTCAGAAAGATGGTAAAAACTTGGCTGTGGGACCAAGCCTTTGGGACAGTGCAGTAAGACAACAATAGGAAACTTTACCCTGCTGATCCGAGATAGTTTTAAACAATTGATTTTAAAGTGGAGATAATTGATTTTAATATTTATGTATACTTATAGTTTATTTTATGTTCCAGCATCGAATGCTTGCCATGTACAGTATATGTTGTTCTCCGCCCTGACTCCCCTTTGGGGTGAGAAGGGTGGAATATAAAGTTTTTAAATAAATAAATAATCAAAAGTGCCAAACAGTCATAATTTCTAACTTCATAACATCCTACTTCGAAGTGATCCAGATATCTACCATTAGATCACAAACTAGTTTTGCTTACCAAAATATCCAAGCAGACACCTTAGGAAAATCAATATACACTGCTCTTGAAAATACCAGCAAAACAAATATGAAACATGGGAAGGAGAATTTGAACCGCTGTGAGTCGCCTCCGGGCTGAGAATAGCGGTATAGAAGTAAAATAAATAAATAAATAAACCTGGTCTTTCTTCAGCTCTCCAGTTGTTAGTCTAACTTCTACTGGTTATTGGTTTTGCAAAACTACAAAAAACCACAACCAAATACCCATCAGTGCTCACCAGTTGCATTACTTTTCTGACACCTTCCATGTACACTGAAACCATTATTCCCAAACAGCATGAGGGAATCAGATGATTCCAAATTGCTACTTCAACTTGGAATGAGAGGTAGAAAGCAGTTCCTGGATACGTTAATATAGAAGAACACAATTGTTCAGAAAAATTGGTATCTTACCCTTCAGTTAAAACCAGGAGTTTTGTGGTTATGAAAGGAGCTATGAACTAAGTTCTTATCTTGACCACAAATTCATGCACTCAGAGGCACCTGGTTGTTTAACCTGAAGCATATATCTGCCTCCCTATTCAATTACTTTGGGCTTGATTTCGGTGGAATCTTGGATAAGTTACTTTTAACTAACATAAGACTTCTATAAGTTACAGCCCCCAAATATATTTTTCCAAAATTTTGTGTGCCATAGTCCTTAGCTAACTTGTGGAACTCACTGTTGCAAGTTGTGGTGATGCTTTTTAACTTTGCATTGACTCTTAGGAGGCATCTGGTTTGTTGCTACTTGTGATATGCGATGCCTGAGTGAGCAGAACTGCTTTTATGATCTGCTTTTCGTAGCAATGGGCATGTTGGTTATACATGAGAATGCCAATTGTAACTTGAGTTCTTGTGTCTCTTTCTCTTAGTGATGTGTCAGAATCGCTAATCGACAAATGCCTGTACAGCTCCAAATCGCCTCATCCAGACATCCTGATCAGAACCTCCGGAGAGGTCCGGCTTAGTGATTTCATGCTCTGGCAGGTAAACCTTAATTACATTGTCTCCTATGTTGACCAAGGGCCCACTGGTGGTGCAGCTGGTTAAACCGCTGAGCTGCTGAACTTGCTAACTGAAAGGTATTATATTTTACTGTATTGTACTATACCACCATAATGCAATATTATTAGTAATATTGCATGTAATATAAATAGATAATTATTATATTATATTGTATTGTGTTATTATTAGTATTATATTGCATTACATTATAATATTATGATCAATATTATATATACATACAATATATTGTATTATTTATTTATCGTGTCAGGAGCAACCAGACAGTTGTATTACATTTTTAACAAAACAAACAAGACAGACAAAACACAAGTTTGCAAGCTTGGTAGTTGATTAAATGTCCTTTGACCAGTATCTGGCCACTTGGAGTGCCTCTGGTGTTGCCGCAAGAAGGTCCTCCATTGTGCATGTGGCAGGGCTCAGGTTGCATTGCAGCAGGTGGTCTGTGGTTTGCTCTTCTCCACACTCGCATGTCGTGGATTCCACTTTGTAGCCCCATTTCTTAAGGTTGGCTCTGCATCTCGTGGTGCCAGAGCGCAGTCTGTTCAGCGCCTTCCAAGTCGCCCAGTTTTCAGTGTGCCCAGGGGGGAGTCTCTCATTTGGTATCAGCCATTGATTGACGTTCTGGGTTTGAGCCTGCCACTTTTGGACTCTCACTTGCTGGGGTGTTCCAGCGAGTGTCTCTGTAGATCTTAGAAAACTATTTCTTGATTTAAGTAGTTGACGTACTGGCTGATACCCAAACAAAGGATGAGCTGGAGATGTCGCTGCCTTGGTCCTTTCACTATTGGCTGCTACTTCCCGGCGGATGTCAGGTGGTGCAATACCGGCTGGACAGTGTAATTTCTCCAGTGGTTTTTTTGTTGTTGTTGTTGTGTCAGGAGCAACTTGGAAACTGCAAGTTGCTTCTGGTGTGAGAGAATTGGCTGTCTGCAAGGACGTTGCCCAAGGGATGCCTGGATGATTTGATGTTTTTGTCATCCTTGTGGGAAGCTTCTCTCACGTCCCCGCATGAGGAGCTGGAGCTGATAGAGGGAGCTCATCCACCTCTCCCCGGATTCGAACCTGCGACCTGTCGGTCTTCGGTCCTGCCGGCACAGGGGTTTAACCCACTGTGCCACCAGGGGCTCCATTCTCCAGTGGTGTAGGGTGCAGACACCCCGTGATAATGCGGCATGTCTCATTAAGAGCCACATCCACTGTTTTAGCATGGTGAGATGTGTTCCACGCTGGGCATGCATATTCAGCAGCAGAGTAGCATAGCGCAAGGGCAGATGTCTTCACTGTGTCTGGTTGTGATCCCCAGGTTGTGCCAGTCAGCTTTCGTATGATATTGTTTCTAGCACCCACTTTTTGCTTGATATTCAGGCAGTGCTTCTTGTGGTCAGAGAACGTATTGTATTATTAGCATAGCACAGTATTGGTAATATATATTACTATATTGTACTGTACCACTAAGGAACCCCCAGTGGCACAGTGGGTTAGACCGCTGAGCTGCTGAACTGGCAGTTCGAATCCGGGGAGTGGGGTGAGTTCCCGCTGTTGGCCTCAGTTTCTGCCAACCTAGCAGTTTGAAAACATGCAAATGTGAGTAGATCAATAGGTACCACTTCTGCAGTCATGCTGGCCACATGACCGTGGAGGCGTCTACAGAAAACCCTGGCTCTTCGGCTTAGAAATGGAGATGAGCCACACCACCCCGAGTCCGACACGACTAGACTTAATGTCAGGAGAAACCTTTGCCTTTACCTATGTTGACCAGCAGGATCTACTTTGCTAGGCCCCATTTCAAGAAATACATTAATAAATTTGAGTCCTCTAGTAGACAATATTATAATGCACAACCCAGGATATTGATGGACCTAGCACAGCATGAACGGAAGCTCTAGTTTTGAACCAAAGCAAAACAGATTGGGCAGTAGTTGGGAAATGGTTCCAGGTATTCCAGCTGCCTTGAGTCTCCTTGGGGAGAAAGGTAGGATATAAATACAGATAATAATAATAATAATAATAATAATTCATCCCCTTTTCTTCTTTCATGGACCATCTATTTACATCCTTGTCTTTCTTTCCTCAGACATCCCATTCTTGCCTGGTGTTCCAGCCTGTGTTGTGGCCAGAATACTCTTTCTGGAATTTATGGGAAGCTATCCTTCAGTTCCAGATGAATTACAGTGCTTTGCAGGTAGGATAGCAAGTTAGAGGGTGGGGCAGATGAGCAAACTTTAAATTATCTACAGAAATCTGCCTGGTTGAAGATTTAGGAAACCCGTATTGCCTATGTCCAATCTTGGCAGCTGTACAATTTCACTGGAAAGGTTTATGTGTCAAGATTTGACTGGGTTTTTCTACTACTAAACTAAAAATTTACTAAAATCTACTAAAAAATTTCAAATGAGTTTTTTTCCAGAAGCTTGCTGCTCAATCCCATGGACATCCTAGCTTCACTGCAAATTTGTGCAAAAAAAATATATTATTGCATGCAAGAATATTCATGTACTTTTATAGCTAAGTTATTTTAAATTCTGCACTTCAATTAATAAAATCCAGGAGGGAATAAGAGGAAAATACAGGAATAATTAATACGTATATATAAAATCAAGAATATTTTAGGCACACATGTTACATCATAAGATTGTACGGAAGCATAAGGGCCATCTAGTCCAATTTACTGATTTACAGGACACAACTAAAGCAATCCTTTGAGATGGCCATCCAATTGTTTGTCACTGAAACAAGCCATCCTACTGTTGCATAGCTGTTAGAGTAAAGGGCTGGACTTTAGCACAGCTGGTTAATCACCAGCAGCAATAGATCTTTCCCAACCAAAAGGCTGGGAGCTCGAGCCCGGGTCAGGGTGAGCATCCGACCTTTAGCCCAGCTTACTGTCCACCTAACCAGTTCGAAAACAGCTGTAGCTGTGAGTAGAAAAATTAGGCACCACTTAAGCTGGGAGTTATTTTATGGCACCATAAAAAAAACAGCAATCAAAGAACAGGAGGAAAGTCTGTGATCAAAAAAAGGCTCGTCATCATAGATGATAGAGCGACAGCAACCCCCGTGACCAGATTCAAACATAGCCTCCAGTATTTGAAGTTGGAAAAATGCCGAGACGCATACCTCTATCAGCCTGTCCTGTATGTCTAATGGCATTGAAAGTTTGCCATGTATTTGTTCTGTGATCCACCCTGAGTCCCTTTGGGGTGAGAAGGGTAGAATATAAATGCTGTAAATAAATAAATAAATAAGGGGCTTCCTATGTTTGGTGGATGATTACATCATTTAGTACAGGCATGGCCTAAATTTTGGCCGTCCAGGTGTTTTGGACTTCAACTCCCACAATTCCTAGCAGTGGTAGGCTGTTAGGAATTGTGGGAGTTGAAGTCCAAAACACCTGGACAAGCCAAAGTTTGCTCATGCCTGATTTAGTATATCTATATTACCTGCAAATGTGGAAGAATGGCATAATTTTACAGGTCTGAATTTGGAATAAACAATTGAAAAACATAGTAATAATAAATAATAAACCTTTATTTATACCCGGCTACCATCTCCCGCAGGACTCAGTGCGGCTTACAAGAGGCCAAGCCCAAATACATCATAAAACATAACAACAACAAAACAACAATAAATAACTCATAACGAAGCAAACAATACAATAATGACGCGACACATTTTAAAAACCTGTGGCAGGGCCAAATGTAAGAATTAAAATTTTAAAATGCTGGGCATGTCCAGGGGAAATAGGGTGGATATTTTAGGGATAGGTGGGCGTGCAGACAGTTCTAAGCCTCTCGTAAAGTGCATTTAGGACATATTGCTTAGGATTCCTTTTTCTGGGAAGGCACACTGGAACACGCACATTTTCAAGCTCCTTCTGAAGACTGCCAACGTTGGGGCCTGCCTGATGTCCTTGGGGAGGGAGTTCCAGAGTCGTGGGGCCACCACCGAGAAGGCCCTGTCCGTCGTTCCCACCAATCGCGCTTGCGATGCAGGTGGGATCGTGAGCAGGGCTTCTCTAGATGAACGAAGAGATCGTGTGGGTTCATATACAGAAATGCGGTATACATACAGACTCTTTGCCCTTTTTGATTGTGATATTATGATAATTTACCTTTGACGTATACTTGGAAGGAATTCTCACTGGAAATCAATTAGACATGGTTTCAAATTCATCTGTACAGAATCATGGGTATTCGCCACCTTTTTCATAGGCAGTTCATGAGATTTAGAAACATTCTTGTGGAATCTAGCAAAAAAATATAGAGAGAGAGTTTGGCGCCTTACAATCTGCAGTTGAGAACAGATTTTGTACTTTAAGGTAATTCTAAAAACCAATGTATCATTATTATTTTTCCCCTTTTCAGAAAGCCAGGGATTTATACCTGGAGGAGAGGAAGTGGCAGCAGATGGAAACCGACAAGGCCTGCATCTTGGAGAAGCTGAAGGAGGAAGGGTCTGCATCCTGTGCGGACGCTCAGAGACGGAGGACACTCTTGCAGGAATTAAGGGCCAACCGGGAAGAGAGAGTCCAGGGTTTTTTGGAAGCGCTGGAAAACAAAAGAATGGACTTCCTAGAAAAATTGACAGTGGCATCTGTGTGACGAGAAGAACTCGTAGTGCCTGAAATGGGGGCAGAAAGGTGACGGGGAGGGAAAACATGAGCCGAGACACAAAAAGTCCAGCTGCTACACAGAAGTGTTCATTTAAATAATGAAAGCATAAGTTTGGGTGTATATGTTTTTTGCAAACATATGCAAGACTTTACCTCAGGTTTGGTAAAAGTGCAGTCCTCCAATTGTTGCATGACTACAACTCCCATCATCCTTGAGCATTGACCATGCTGGCTGGGGTTGATGTGAGCTGGAATACAATGACATGTACTTTACTTCTGTATTGTTTCCAGTTCTGATTCACTGTGCAGTTTGGGAACCTATTGGCCAAAGGAGATTTATCTTATCGCACTTGGCTATGGTTTAAAGATAGCTGGAGAAAGGAGAATTTGTTGTGAGTTCTGTTAATAAATAAATGGAGTTGGTACGCACGTGGGAAGAATTGTGCATGCAGTAGGGATTTTCTTCCATTTCCCAAAATACTAACATTTTTATATTGCAAATCAAGAGGCAATAAAATCCAAATCATCCGTTGTGACGATTAAACCTTTCTCAACCCCATCAAAAGGTGTTAGCTTTTGAAACTCACTGAATTCTTAGTAAAAAAAAAAAAAAAAGCCAGTAGGCCTTGAAAGCTAGCATGATGAATTTTGCAACTTTCGGGGCTAATGAAGCTGTTACCATGGTGTGTATTTAGGGTTTTCTTGCACAACTAACACACCTACTGTCACCTATAAATCTGTGTGTAATGAAGTCTAAAAATGTTGCTGTTCGTAAAGTTACAAGGGGTGTTCATTAAAGATTTCCCCTGACCCACTTGCTGTGGACTGGGAGCAATGAAACTTGGTACAGTTATGAGTCCTTCTCTCCATTGGTGCCACCTACGGACACACAGTGCTCCCATCTTTTAAAGCAACTGTCAACACCTTGCTTGTAGAAATCGACAGGTTGCTCCAAAAGCCACGTTGTGACTTCAGAAACCAGAGTCTCATCATCTGAAAAATGCTTGCCCTTCAAAAATAACTTCATTATTGGAAAGAGGTGGAAGTCCGATGGTTCAAGGTTGGGTGAATAAGGAGGATGCAGTCAAATTTCAAAGCCACAGGAGCATGCTTCCATTTGAGCAACAGGTGAGTTAACTGGTGCACTGTCTTGCAGAAGGCAGACACCTTTGGTGAGCATGTCACATTATCTCTTGGTTTTGATGGCTTCCCGCAATTTCTGCAGCAGTGAAGCCTAGTCTGCCCCAGTAATCATGGTCCCCTTTGCTAAGAAATCCATCCATACTAATCCGTGCTGGTCCCAAAATACTGTGAGGATGACCTTGCCTGCCGAGAGCTGGGCATGTGCCTTCTTTGGAGATGGTGAGTCATGATGCTTCCATTGCATCAAGTGGACTTTACTCTCAGGATCATAGTGATGGACCCAGCTTTCATCCTGTGTGATCAGTCTGTTGAAAAAGTCCTCCTGTTTTCCATGGCACATCATTGAGCCTGAGAGCATTCAACTCTTTCCTGTTTCTGGAAAGTTGAGCATTCGGGGTACCCAGCAAGCAGATACCTTATGCATGTGAAGATGGTCTGGGATTACTTTTCCCACAGACCCCAACTAATCTTGACATTTTGGGCTAGATGGCTAATGGTTACACAGTGATTTTCCAAAAGGGCAACCTCCACTTGCTGGATGGTGTGTTCATCAATAGTAGAGTGGGGTCACCCTGGAATTGGAGCTGTTTCCACCGAAGTTCTATCACATTTGAATTGACGATGCCAATTCTTGACTATATCATATGATGGGGAATCCTCATCGCAAACCCCTTTTATCTCATCCAATATCTTTGGGGTGCGGCCTTTCAAGTAACAGAATTTGATGACTGCTGTTTTTCACTGGGTCTGTTATCAAATCTCACACCACTTCAGCACCTGTAAAATTAAGATAGTTATTTCTAAAGTTGTAAATTGGCACGTAACCTGATACAGACTTATATCATTACACATGTGCAGTGACAGCATCCTGTGATAAATAGAAGTGGATCAGGAGAAATCTTAAATGAATTACCGCCATGACCCCCTTTACGTCCTGGTGAGGTTTGGGGAACAATGGATGATGGGATTTGTAGTTCTTTCCGACCCTGTGGCCCCCAATAAAGACCGATAAAGACCAAACTTGGCACACAGCGCCCCCATTGCGCACTTTACATCCTGGTGCAGTTTGGAGGAGGGTGGACCATGGATGATGGGACTTGAAGTACCTCCTCTCACTTCCCYAGACTGCTGCGATACTCATCCGAATGACTGATCAAGACCAAACGTGGCACACAGAGCCCCCATGACCCACTCTACATCCTACTGCAGTTTGGAGGAGGGCGGACCATGGATGATGGGACTTGAAGTACCTTCACTCACTTCCCGAGASTGCTCCAACCCTCATTCAATGACTAATCATGACCAACCTTGGCACACAATACCTTTCTCAAATAACCTGGGCCACCAAGCTAAGATATATATCTATACACACACACATACACACACACACACACACACATACACACACACACACACACAGAGAGAGAGAGAGAGAGAGAGAGAGAGCATATAAGCCGCTCCGAGCCCCAGGGGAGTGGCGGCATATAAGTTTGAATAATAAATAAATATAATATATCTGTGAAGATTAAATTATCAGGCTTTTTTCTAAAAGACTTGGGACAGTCATCTTTTACACAACATGAACCAATGATTATTAAAAATAACTATTTTAAGGCTAAATGAATACAAAGAAATGTGTCTTGTCTTCTTTTGGTATTTTATTTTGAACTGGAGATCTGTGGACTGCTGATAATGGCATTCGACAAGCTTTGTAAGAGTTGCATTTGATGCATATAGCTACAGCTAACCACATCGGAGCAGGGCTTTTGGTAGGAGGATTCATCTTCTGTTTCTAAAAAGGAAGAAAAAGACAGGTGGGGGGATCTTTAGCCTTCTCTGCTGAAGGGGTTCCTAAGACCATCAGAAATATATGTTTTCTGATGGTCTTTGGTGACCCCTCTGACACCCTCCTCACGATCCACCCAGGAGTCCCGGCCTCCAGGTTGAGAAACATTGTACTACATGGAGGGGCAAGACATGTGCTGGCTCTGTTGGCTGCAATACTGATAGCAGAACAACAACAAAACTGAGAGAGCAAGGATGGAACCACGTTATGTCAGATGTTATCTTCCCTTAATTCATGGAGACAGCCAGGACAATGCAGTCCTAAGTAACTTTCACTCCCTCATGACCCCTCTCCCAGGTTGAGAAACACAGAGGTAAATGATCCTGATAATGCATGAAACACTCTAATCAATATTCCAGATGCATCTCTTTGATATGAAATTACAGCTTGAGTACACCTTACCTGAAATGCTTGGGAGCAGAAGTATTCCATATTTTGGGTTGTTTTTTTCCAAAGTTTGGAATACTTGCTGTGACGATGTGTAAATTTTATTCCTTTGGTTATGTGTAATTTAAACAGTAGTTTAGGGATGGTAAGTATGGGAGACTATGTTTGTTGGAGATGGTGGCTTGGCGTTAGCTGAGTTGCCATAGCAACAGGGGCGGAGCCAACTGCCTCTTCACGAGGCAGTTGTTTTAAAAGGTCAGTCAGTAGCCAGAGAGCTACTGAGAGGACTGAGTTTCTGGGTGGAGATTCAGGGAATGTGTCTGTAGCCGGTGTGCTATAGGAAAGACTGGATCTCAGGGTGGAGATTCAGGGAATCAATTGGTGACCAAAGTGGTTGCAGAGAAGGACCCGGTAGTGAGAGAGCTACAGGGGGTTGTTGATTCTAAATTAAGAATCAAGGTTTGGCTGGGTTTAAGCCTGCTGTGCCTGCTGTGAAACGTTTTGAAGTCTGTGCCTGAGATTACTCATGAAACCTTTCCAATGTAACCATCAAGATTTGTGCCTCCTGAGAAGAAACAGTTAAACATGTTATACTCCTGTTAAAATAAACTTGTTACCGCATTGAGTCGCCTGTTAAGGGCTGAAAAATGCGGTATAGAAATGAAGCAAATAAATAAAATAATAATACTGTTTTCCTCAAGCCTTGCCTGATACAGTTTCTTCTAAGTTGAACAGCCTGCAATAGTAAAGTCAGCCAGAAACAGTAAATGCTACGCTATCAACTGAATAAAACCTTCTGTAATTAACAGTCCCTTTATAAAATAGTTCCTAGGCTGATATTGATCGTTGCCCGGCTTCCCTCACAGATTAGGTGGCAGTGGGTGTTTTACAACACGCACCTTCACAATTGGTGGCATTCGGTGGCATTAAAATGGTCTTCTTTACACTTGCAAATACAAGATGTCTTGGAGATGGGTCCCATGTCTGAACATGAAATTAGCCTGATAACAATTTTATACAAAATATAATTTAATAACTTTGCTCGTGAAACAAAGCTTGTGTACACTGAACCACCAGAGAGCAAAGGTTTCACAATCCAAGCCACCAATGTGGACACATTTTGGATTTCTGGACAAGGGATACTCAACTGTACAACCAAATTCTAAGGTCAATTAACAATTCTTCAGGATGGCAAGGATGGCACTTGAATGCAGAGTTACTTGACACAAAGACATGAACCAGAATCCTGCCAGACTAGATAATATTCAGAGGTGTCATGTTGAATTTCCTTAGTAATTTCTGGGTTATATTACTATCGCCAGGGTTCTCCAGAAATGAAAAGTCCCTGGAAGTATCAAAACCTTCCAGTTCTTTTTGTTTTAACCACAGATTTGTGGTTTTGTATCCAAACTTTACGGTGAGTGGCCCCCACTCCCTCATGTCCTTTGCTCTCTCACTTGATCAAGTGTCACATCTAGATGCAGGCAGTGTTTCAGAAATTGACCTTCACGAATTTCCACTGAAACCTTTTAGGGTCCCCAAATGATGGCCCTTGGGCCAGATGCAGCCCTCCTTGTTCATTTACCCAGTCCTCATCCTAAACTTTAGACTTAGAGTCGTCCTAAATCTGAAATGACTTGGAGATACACAACAACAACAACAATCCTAATTAACTTGACTCTCTCATCAGCCAAATGCAGGCCCGCACGTTCCATTGAAATATTGGTAAGTTTATGGTGGTAAAAAATGTTCTTCATTTTAAATCTTCTATTGTTCTTTCATGTGTGTGTGTGCTTTGCATTGCAAATAAGGTATGTGCAGGAATTTGTTCATGTTTTTTCAAACTATAGTCAAACTATAGACTGCCCCCCAACAGTCTGAACTGGCCCGTGGCATATACAGAAGTTATAGTCAATGAGTAAAGTATTGTCGAAGGCTTTCTTGGCCAGAATCATTGGGTTGCTGTGAGTTTTCCAGGCTGTATGGCCATGTTCCAGAAGCATTCTCTCCTGACATTTTGTCTGCATCTATGGCAGGCATCCTCAGCGGTTGGGAGGTCTGTTAGAAACTAGGCAAGGTGGATTTATATATCCGTGGAATGTCCAGGGTTGGAGAAATAACTTGTCTGTTTGAGGCAGGTGTGAATGTTGCAATT